TATTTAAATTTTTAGAAAATTGTATAGGTCACACTATCAATTGTAATAACGTAGATTTCTTTTCTCGCATTTTTTTCTATTATGTATCTGCTCCAAGGATGTAATAGCGTAGATTTACTTTCCCGCAAATTTTTATACTTATGTATCTCTCCCAAAGCCATGTAATAGCGTAGGACTTTACATTCTGCACCTTATTTTTCTGCACATATTTAATTGCTAGTAACTAGGGTTTGTATGGCAAGATTAAAAACATACGTAGAAAACCCTAAATTCTCAAGATAAAATAAATGAATCAATACATTTTGCACACTTGCACCGCTAGGGTATCCTCTCTTGTTGGCTTACAAATATTGGTCACATCTCTCGAAAGTGGGGATACTTTAGCAAAAGACCCTCGATCAAATCATCATTTCGCTTTCGAATAAAGATCATAATCCCTCGACGACCCTTCGAGCTGCCTACAAAATGATCTAGTCCCTTCGATGACCCTACGAGAAAATTATGATATTCCCTTCGATACAATTGTTAAAGTATCCTTACTTGTTACCTTCGATGACCATACGATGATCCTGCGCCTGTCCTTTCATATCCAATAGATGGCATTACCTACCAACTAATAGTATGGATAATACTATCTCAAAAGGAGAAGGAAAATGACAAGAAAGACCTTTAGTGGGTAAGAACTACTAATTGCTTTCTCACAAACTTTTCTCACAAACAAATACATTTTCCACACTATATTTTCAAACAAATATTTTCAAAAACATTTTGTATACATTCTTGAGGACTGACACAAGGATTATTACAAAGTTAGCCTTACATTGGCATTTTAAAATATTTTCAAATTACACACACACACAAAGCAAGTTTTCAAAAGTGAGCTAAGAAATTAAGAGCCCATAGATAACTACGAATGAAAAGGGTGATAACACCTTCCCTTTTCATAACTTACCCCCCGAACTAAAAATCTATCAAAGGTCTTTCCTGTTCTTTTCACCTTTCCTAAATATTGGATAAAAGAAAAGTCGATGGCGAATCTTGCTATTCGCACATTTAGATAAAACCAAAAAAGTCAGTTCTCCCACTCTATGACAACATCTAAGAAAGAGAACATCAAAATGGCATCTGATTTTATCCATGAATGCGCCCCAGGAAAAGAACTCAAGAATTGGACAGATGTGGTGATTCTGGAGAATAGAGGTTGCTTGTAAGGGTCTCCCTTTTTATTTCAAACAGTATTCACGATTAATAAAAGTTATATTCTGCATTCAATTAAGATCCCTGTTTTTCTGTTGCATTTACCTCTTACATTTAAAATGGCAATACTTTTCTTCATATGTATTTTCCAAATTCACATACTAAAAAATGCACCAAAACATCATAAATGTGTTGATCCATGCCCAAAATCACCGATAATGTTACTGCTGCTATCTGGTATAATTTTGATGCACCCATCAACCAAGCTGAAGAGGAAGACGATGAAGATCTTGAACTTTTCGAAGAATTAGCGTGGGAGATAGAGCAAAAAGCTGACATTATACAACCATACTAGGAACCTATTGAGACCATTAATCTGGGCATAGATGAGGATCTGAAAGAGATCAAGCTAGGGGAAACATTGGAGAAAAGCATCAAACAAAGGCTGATCAAGTTATTACATGAGTATATGGATATATTTGCCTGGTTTTACAGAGATATGCCAGGATTGGATATGGACATTGTGGTGCACAGACTACCTCTCAAAGAAGGTTGTTCTCCAGTTAGGCAAAAGCTCAGAAGAACTCGTCCCGACATGTCCAACAAGATTCGAGAAGAGGTGCTTAAACAATTTGACGCGGGGTTCTTAACAATGGTAGATTATCCACCTTGGATAGCTAACATCGTGCCAGTACTCAAGAAAGATGGTAAAGTACTCATGTGTGTGGATTATTGGGATCTAAACAAAGCAAGTCCCAAAGACGATTTCCCTTTACCTCACATATATGTTTTGGTGGATAGCACAACTCAAGATTTAGTATTATCGTTCATGGATGGTTTCTCGGGCTATAATCAAATCAAAATAGCTCTTGAAGATATGGAAAAGACTACTTTCATGACACATTGGGGAACTTTCTGTTACAAGGTAATGTTGTTCGGTCTGAAGAATGCAGGGGCAACTTATCAACAGGCTATGATCACACTATTACATGATATGATTCACAAGGAGGTTGAGGTGTATGTAGATGATATGATTGCCAAATTCCATACAGAGGAAGATCATATCATACATTTACAAAAGTTATTTGAATGTTTGCAAAGGTTCAAACTAAGGTTAAATCTGAACAAGTGTACATTTGGTGTCAGGTTAGGAAAGTTGAAAATCATCTAAAAATGAAGTCGCCATCGAACTTCTTTTATACCACATGAAGGGAAAGGTAAACATCAAGAAAACCTGAGAAGGGAGAAGTCACAGTCTTGCGAACGAGATATTGGGTAAGGGAGTCTGTTACGCGAGGGAAAGGTATTAGCACCTCACATGCCCGTAGTACTATACGAAATCCACTCTCGTTATTTATCTTATGGGTGTGTTTAATCTATGTCTACTGCATATTACTGAAGAAGAATGAATGCAAAAGAAAAGAGAAAATAATATAGGGAAAATAAAGTTGTGCTCGTTTGGGTCCTACCCCAATGCCTACATATCCTTTTTGAGGAATCAGAGTTACCGTAGTCCGACTCACATGTTTTTGTTTGTTTTGTGTTTTTTATGGGCGAAGAACCCTTGTGAAAACGGTTTTGAGTTATGTCCTCAAGGAAAGATGCCACATTTGATTGGTTTGTATTTTTTTACCTTGAAAAAAGGGTTTAAGTGTGATTAGCATGTTTTATGATTTGCTAAGAAAAAGAATGTTTTTGTTTTAAATGCTAATGCAAAAAGGGGAAGAAAAGAGTCTACTGAAGACTATCCTATTTCTAATCCTAATGTTATCATACAATGGTGGTCTTAAGCTTTGGATTAACATAAGGAAAATGTATACCTAATGTTGGCATGCATGGCTTTCAACCTAAAGTCTAACTTGCATCCGAAACGAACAAGCATATCCTAAGGGAACATGGTATAGCAAGCGAATGAGCAAACAATTTCGAAAGAGCACACGCATGAAATGGAGAAGAAAAGAAGCAAAATGCTTTAGTCAATGGGAGTGGATCACCCGAGACAAACAAGCTGGAGTGAAATATAAAATAAGAGAAATGCTTTAGCTAAGGGGAGCAGATCACCCGAAGCAAACAAGCGGGAATAGGATGTAAAAAAATGTGATGTCCAAGGAGACTGAACACCTAACCAAGATATATGAGATCGAGGTAGGAGACTGAATGCAATATGAACAATCACAGAGTGTCTGCATTGGCCAATGCAAACTCTTGACAAAGTGTGGGGGACCGGTTGCAAAATCCTTTTCCACTTGACGACTTGATAACAAGAGTAGGCACAACTCTGAAGCATCGTGGTGAGTCACGAGCTAAGGATGACACAGACGAGATGCACGGGGGTTGATTGCTAACACTTTCCACTCGCCTCCTTTTGAGGACTTAAATAAGGGGTGGGGGAATAGATGCGAGCACAAATGTCAACACACGTGCGGAACACTTACTTCAAAGGTAGGGTTTTAAACAAATAAAAATAGCATACAGAAAGTGGTTCCTGCTACAGGACTTTAAACAGCGACTTCGAGCGCACGCTCTTTATTTCCTACTTCTCATGATATCTAGAAAGCAGTAAAGAAATGTGGTAAAGTGCCTAAAATATAAAAGTAGTAGCGGTGACTACCAAAAGCAAGTGGATCATCGAAAGTGGACGAAAGAAATGGAGGAGCAGGGAGTACGCGTCAAGCAAGCTTCGCCAAGAAATGAACAAAGTTAGAAACGATATCCAACTAAGATAAAAGCAAAGGCGTGTTGCAAATGCAACGCATAATCAGAAGTTCCTGCACAAAGTATCACAAGCGTATGGACAACATATAATATGATATGAATTTCTCAAGACGATGAGAAATAAGACGTGTCGCATCGGAAGCGAGCATAAGTCATATGCTTCGATCACATAACAACCTGTTATGTTACGTGATTGAAAGCACCAAAATGTACCTTGCATAATGAACAAACATGTCAAAGATAACAAGGCACAATGGTATGAAAGTATAAATAAAAAATCCTAAAAGAAAAAGTGTTTTTTATTAGTTTTTTATGTGAGAAAAATTCTATCAAAAAAACTAAAGAATTAATTCCTAAAATCAATTATAGAGATGTAAACAAATTTATTTGATTTTGTAATTTTTATCATAGAAAAATATAGAAAAAATTATAAGTAAAATCCTAAATCTTAATAAAAGAAATAGGAGTATCAGGGGGTGCTAAGATGGAATCCAGGGGTGTACTATAGAAATCAGGCGCTAGGCCCAAAAACTACAGTCCACTAGAAGTTTTTTGTAAGATCTCAAGCTACCAAAAAAATGGCCCTATGGGCCAGGCAAGTAGAATCCGGTCCATCAACAACACCATTATGATCCATCTAGTTTTTTTATATTCAGCTTTAACCTCCAAAAAACGTACGGGCTTTGTCAATGCTCATGTTACCTTTCACCTTTTGACATCAGGGTTCTCTCCATGCGATTTCTGGCGGGAATTCTCCACCGTAAATGCCACCAACACGATCCTAAACAACCTTGTTTCAATAAAATTCCAACACCACCTTAGCCTAATCCAACACCCTGAACCTAAATATAACACTAATTTTTTGAGAAAATCCATCTACATGACTAGATCGAAGGATAACCATCACAAAACCTAACTTTGAAAGCTTCAGTTAAACGGCGTTCGAAAGCTTCAGTTATATTTCTGTTTTCTGTTAGTTCTAAAAAACTTGTTATAAGCAGTTAGTTGAAGTGAGTTGTCAAGTTGGTTAGAAAACTGTTATATCAGCAGGAGAGTTTGTTAGTAGTTGAATCAGTTAGTTTTTTCTTATGAGGTTTGAAATTCGATTAAGGAGAGGTGGCAGGTTCAGTTATTAGTTAGCTACAAGTAGTTTTTCTGTTGTGAAGCTTAACTTTGATTTTCTATTTTTCCAGGATGTCCTTTTCCCTCTACCTATTTTCTTTGGTCCTTCCCATTGAACAAATGCAGGACCAGCTTTATTGGTGAATTGTTCTGATCTGAATATTGAGAAGAGAGGAGGCATGATTTAGCTTGGATAGTTTGGATTTTCCTGGACAAGTTCATCATGTGTTAACGGGTTAATTTTGGATTTATATACGCAAGGCTGTTTCAAAGTTTCTTTTGCAGTAGGCTAATGTTTTCATAACCAGGAGGCTTGTGGAGTAGAGACATGTTGCAGCAGGCTAGTACAATGCGCGAGATGATGATATTGTCCTTGATTCATGTTTTTTTGTGTGCTTGGCTTTTGGAAGATTTGTTTATGTTTCTTCAATGCTATTCTAAGCATCTGATCCCCCACAATCCCTTTCATGAGCCGAACAAAATGATCTTTGGGTATTTCATCTTTCTTCAATTTGTTAAATAATGTTGGGTTCATCATGTTGTATTTCATCTTTGTTCATTTACTGTGGCCTATTTATTACTCATCTGCTACAATTTCGTACTGTGATTCACAGTTGGGATTATTTGTTTTGATTACCTCATGGTTAAAGACAGGATCTTTTTTAGATTTCTGAACTTCAGTTGTTTGAGAATGTTGGGGGGAAATCGGTACAGTCTGGCGTTGGAGACACTCATCTTGAGATCATTTGTGTGATAAAGTAGGATTACTTGCATATTATGAGGCAATATTTTGCATCTGTTCCACGACAGGTCCTTGTTGCTTCAGCTCCATTTCAGATGAAGGTTGCTCTTGTGCAATTTTAGGCTTCTAATTTTGATAGTCAGTCTGGTTGTCATGGCTAGAAGTTGGCCATGTTGGTAATGATTGACTGAATGAATTATTTCTTCCTGCATCTGAATCAGAAAGATGAGAATTAGAAGCATCTCCGCCTATGTCTCTAATCATTGCAGCTTGAAAAGCTTCCACATCTGCTCTTGAATGCATATTTTCATCCTCATCATCTTCAAGAAGCTTGACTATAGATGGGGTCCATAGCAGCACACTGTTTTTTTCCTTGCACTTTGGATAATGGATATGAAAATGCGGCGGCTCGTGGAGGTGGTTGGTTGTGGCTGGAGATGAATACAGAGGAAACGGAAACCTCCGATTAGAGATAGAGATTAGAGTCAGTTAATCGTCAAAACTGGATTCCTTGCAGTTGGCCTTTTCATTGATCCCACACACAAATTGATTTTGGCCCTTTGTTTGCAAAGTGTACTTCTCAAAGTAATCTTTCAATTGCTTTTGAAGTGGGTCGTAGTTGGTTTTCTTTTATGTATTAACTTCACATGGGATATTCAATACAGCCGACTCTTGAATTTAAACAAATTCCCTTCATTCACTCAAATAGGAGTCCTAATTCTTTATTTTTGTTTTACACTTCCTTGACTAGAATGGACTTTGGCTAAAAATTTATCAAAAGATATTTAACTTGAAATGTCTTCAAGACAATACCATGTAGTGCCTCATCTTCTTGCTTAAACTCCAAAGCTATGACTTGTAACCCGATAAACTTTAATGAACCAGTTTTGACTGAGTAATGAAAGTTAACATACCTTAATGGTCCACTTTTCACCATGCCTTGCGCTTGAAGTACATGTTGACTAAAGGAACTATCTTTAAAAATTGATACTTTAAAAATTGATACTCAAAACCTTAACTGATTGATGATAGATTGGTAAAACTTTTATTCATAGCTCACACAATAAGGCCACTCTTGAATAAAGGCTTCTTTGTATTTCATAATGAAGAGCTTCTTTTGCACAAACCTTGAATGACTATGAATACCAAGATCTTTTCACCAACTTGCGCTTTAAACCCTGGATGAAGCCCTAAGATGATGATGTTGATTGATGAGCAAACTCTACCAAAAACCATATTGAATAACACTTAATTGGGGAAATAAACCCTAATTAAGTGACACTGATGAGCACAAGAAGATGAGGTTTGTAGACTCTCCGTGCTCTAGCTCATGGTCTCTTGGATGATATTTTGGAGTAACTTGTATTGCAAGCAACAATGAGCATTTCATGTGTTGAAGGAAGCTAGAGAAAATTCAGGAGAATAGCTTTAGATGACATATATCTAAGTCTTTGTAGATTCACCAGATGACCTTGAGTATAAAACCTTGACTTGGAACCAAATCATGTGAAAGAAAGAGGAAACCCTAAAGCCTAAATGGAACCTTAATCCCATGGCCATTGATTCCAAATACCAATCCTTGTTGTTAATGAATGCATGTTATGTTAGATGACCTAATGGAGGGTATGTACATGATGATTATGAGATGTATAAGCCATATGATTCTTGTTAAAGGACATGAAAAATTTGGGGTATGACACAAGTTACTGGGTTTTATTGTAAGTCAGCATGGTATCGAGGTAGACCCCGACAAGGTAAAAGCCATACAAGAAATGCTAACTCCGAGGACAGAAAAAGAGATTCGTGGTTTCTTAGGAAGATTGAATTACATCTCAAGGTTTATATCACACCTAACTTCTATGTGCGAGCATATATTCAAATTACTGCGAAAAGATCAGACGATGGTATGGAACGATGATTGTCAAAAAGCCTTCGAGACAATAAAGCAATATTTACGAGAACCACTGATCTTAATGCCACCAGTCCCCAGAAGACCACTCGTCATGTATATGATGGTACTTGAAGGATAAATGGGTTGTGTATTGGGACAACATGACGAAATAGGTAGAAAAGAGCATGCCATCTACTACCTCAACAAGAAATTTACTGAATGCGAAGCCAGGTACTCCTTAAGAAGACTTGTTGTGCCTTGGCTTGGGATACTAAGAAATTGAGGCAATACATGCTAACTCACACCATGTGGTTGATAGCAAGAATGGATCCTTTAAAGTATGTGTTCGAAAAACCATCTCTTACAGGAAGGATTGCCCGATGGAAAATGTTACTATCACAATACGACAACCAATACATTACTCAAAAGGCCATCAAGGGTAGTGTACTAGCTAACTATCTAGCTTATCAACCATTACCAGAGTATCAACCAATGAAGTTCGACTTTTCGGACGAAGATGTCATGGCTATAAGTGACTACAAAATACCCGGGCCTGACGAAGGACCCAAATCAAGGGCATGTTGGACACTCATGTTTGATGAAGCTTTAAATGCACTGGGGCACGACATTGGGGCAGTTTTGAATTCTCCGAAAAATTATCACAAGCCTTATGTGAAAGGTTATGTTTTGACTGCACCAACAATATCTTCAAATATGAAGCTTGTAACCTGGATCTCAAAGATGCTATCGATCTGAGGAACAAATATCTCGATGTTTTTGGAGATTCTGCGTTAGTCATATACCAAGTCAACAACGAATGGGACGCTAAACACCCCAAATTGATTCCATATCGGGATCATGTTCTAAAGCTATCTATAGGATTCACTGAGATCACCTTCGGTCATATCCCACGAGAAGAAAATTAGATAGCAGACGCCTTGACAACTCTACCATCCATGTTCAAAGTAACTTGGCCAAACCATGAACCGTGCATTACAATCAGACATTTCAAAGAGCCTGCATATTGCCTTGCTATTGAATAAAGACCAGATAACAAGCCTTGGTTATATGACATCGAGAGGTACCTTGACAAACAAGAATATCCAGAAAATGCCTCTATCCTTAACAAACAAACTCTGCTGGAAGCTAGCCTCAAAATCATTTCTGAATGGTGATGTGTTATATAAAAGAAACTACGATATGGTTCTACTCAGGTTTGTGGAGAAGCATGAAGTTGATACGCTTATGAGTGAAATCCACGAAGGTACTTTTAGAACTCATACAAATGGGCATGCCATGGATAGAAAAATCTTGTGAGGAGGTTATTATTGGTTAACAATGGAAGCCGATTGCGACCATTATACAAAAACGTGTCATAAGTGCCAAATTAACACCGAAAAAATAAATATGCTACCAACTCCTTGACCATTTTCTATGTGGGGAATTGATATGATAGGTATGATCAAACTAAAAGCATCTAACATACATCGGTTTATACTGGTTTCTATTGATTACTTCACCAAATGGATAGAAGCGACATCCTACGCGAATGTGACAAGTCAAGTGGTTACTCGATTCATAAAACAAAATCTCATTGTAGATATGGGGTTCCAGGAAGAATCATTAGGGATAACGGGTCTAATCTAAGAAATAAGATGATGAATGAGTTATGTAATAATTTCAAACTTGAGCATCATAATTCCTCACCATATTGACCCAAGATGAACAGTTCCGTTGAAGCTGCCAATAAGAACATCAGGAAAATAATTCAGAAAATGTTGAAGACATACAAAGATTGACATGAAGTACTTCCCGTTGCTCTACATGTCTATCGTACTTCCATGCGTACATCAACAGGTGCAACTCCTTTCTCGCTAGTATACGATATGGAGGAAATACTGCCAAATGAAATAGAAATCTCATCACTTCGAGCGCTGATGGAAACAAAGCTTGAAGAAGCAGAGTGGGTTCAGACGCGACTTGATCAACTCAATCTCATTAAAGAGAACGCTTGACAGCTTTGTTCCACGGTCAATTATATCAGAAGCGGATGAAGAAAGCCTTAGACAAGAAAGTCCGCCCTCGAGTGTTCAAAGAAGGGGATTTGGTACTCAAAAATATTATGCTACCTCGCCTCGATTGACGTGGTAAATGGACACCCAACTACGAAGGTACATATATGGTGAAAACAACATTCTCAGGTGGTGGCCTTATCCTCACAACAATGGATGGGGAGGAACTACCATATCCAGCAAATTCAGACGCATTCAAAAAATACAATGTATAAAAGGCTCACTAAGTTCGAACCTTAAAAAGGTGACTTAGGCAAAAAGGAGTGCCCCGGTGAATCGAAAACCTTAAAGGGAGATCCAGGCAAAAATTAGGGACATACACAAAAAAAATTATCCCGGTGGATTGAAAACCTGAAAGGGAAATCCAGGAAAAAGTTAGGGATCTTATTCAGAAAGAAAGAACAAAAAGACTGTGATCTAAGAGCTACGACTACAAACCACAAAGGAGAGAGATGGTCCAAATCATTTGGCTAGGAAGCAAAGGAGATTGGAGCTATCAAAAGGACATTGGAGAAACATCATTAACAATTATCAAATTTATTGCCATTTTCAGTTTTAAAATTTTATATAATTATCTCTTTTAAGGAATTTCATCTTGTACGCTCGCCTATTCAGAGGCATATCTAATCAATAAAACATTGACCTTTTCAAATCTTTCAATTGTGTTTTTTATTTTCAGACTTGTTTGCAAAATACTACGGTTATTTTTATGAATACTGCATTGAAAACATTTTTGGGAATTGACATACAAATAAAAGCATTTGATAAAAGCATCAAAAAGCATTTTGGTTAGAAAAACTTCAAAAGAAAATCCACGTCTAGGTCCATGCCTACGCATGCGTCTGCGATGCAATTATCTATGACACATTGACATTGTTCACCGTGCTTTATCAAAATTCTAATCGAATTTGAGATACAACAATTAGCA